CACACACACACACACACACACACACACACACACACACACAAAAAGAAACACAATTAGATTTGCTTGTAAATAACTAAATACCAAAAACCTCAATGAGTAGTTTTTTTGTCATAAGCAGCCCTATCTAACAATACAAAGCTGAAGAACACATCATAAAATGCAGATATGTAGAGTCTACATATTAGTTCCTCTAAAACCCTCCACAGATGGGCAAAAGCAAAACACACACAACACAAAAATATACACGGTAAAGAAGATTTACCTTTCAAAAGTTTACTTTTTCACCATGGGGCTCGAGCAAGCATTTGGAACTCGTAACAAAGCTTCTTATCCTCCCACTCGAGAGCTTCCACCTCAGCCTCCACACGACCCACCAATGTTCTTACACTCAACGACATCACTTGATGATCCCGTTTTATGCCTTTCAGCTTTTGCACTCTATCTCGCAAAAACCCGACTGCCATTCCCAAATCCTCGAAAGCTTTTAAGGTTTTCTCCCAGCAATCGAGGCAGTGATCTGATGTGGCAAGGTCCGCGGACCTAATGGCATCTGATATGTTTATGGTCTCACAAATCATGGCCACGACTAGTTTACTGCTGAGGCCTTTGATTAGGGAGTCGTGTAAGAATGCTTTTTGGCTGCTGCATAGGTTGTAATATTTTGTCCTGAGAACAGACGGTATTTCCGGGTCGAGAATTAGACCGTCCATTTGAATCTGGAAATCGTCAAAGCCCTTTTCGATGTCTATTTCTGGGAGATTGGAGTTCGGAAGTTTGACTTCGCTAATAGTTCTTGGCTTTTTTGTTTCGCGATGATTTACGAGCACGCGTCGTGTTGTTTGACCGTCCGTTCGGTCTTCGATTTTCACTGGTCGAATGTTTAAAGAGTTCATTTTTTCTTTATTTGGGAATGTCGAAAATATATTACGGAATAAAAACTTGGCAAAAAAAAAATGCAGTTTTAGTCCTGTTGGTTTAACGTTACAGCAATTTCAGTCCCAAGATTCCAACTTTTCGCCTTTTGGTGTTGTGATTTAATATTTTGCTGCAATTTCAAAGGACTGAAATTGCAACAAATTCCCGAATTCCCAGATATTCGATTAGCAATTTAAGTCTTGTAATTTATTTTATTTTATTTTTTTGAAATTAGTTCTGAGTAAAAATTTGAGCATTTTGATCCCTAATGTCGTATTTTGTCTAAGATCAAAATCAAGAATTTGGAATCAAAATATTTTCTATCGGCCATTTTTTCCTTCCTAGATTATTATTTAGATAATTCTTAATAGGGATGTTTCTCAGCATATTAAAAAAATGTAAGAAATCTCTTGTTTCTTATTTCCTTGAAATGGAGATATATATAAAAAGCATTCCATTTTAGTTTCATAATTAAGAAATTTAGATGATAAAAGATCATGCACAACTGAAATTGCAAAAAAAATTTAAATTACACGACTTAAATTGCTAATCGAATATCTGGGAATTCGTGAATTTGTTTCAATTTCAGTCCTCAAAGAACTCAAATTGCAGCAAAATATTAAATCACATGACCAAAAAGCGAAATGTAAGAAACTTGGGATTAAAATTGCTATGTCATTAAAACAACATGACTAAAATGCTATTGCTATGACTTACCACTGCTTATTGGCCTAATGTTCGGGAAATCATGGGTGTGAATGCCAACCAACCCTTCGTTTTCCGTTACTTTGCTTGCTTTCATAATATACACCTGAAGATACCACCAAACACAAATATCCTTGAATTCAAATCTGCCCCATTAATGAATTTAGATTTATTCGAACCTAAATTCTAAAATATGCACAAACCAAACTTCCGAAAAGATCTTTCAATCAAGTATGTTGCTTGACATGTAAAGTCAAGTAACCAAATAATAAACGGATAAAAAAGACGGAGTACGAATGCCGAATAGTTACCCTGAACTTGCAAGGCTCAATCAGATGGAATAACAGAGCATCTCCCTCTAGTAATTTGTGTGACACGGAGAAAATCCTCCAACCACCGCTTAATCTATTTTTACGAACCGAATATTTCATGCTGTATTCTTTATCACTTTCATCAACCAAAACAATAGACTCGTCTTGGGTTGGCATATGTGCATCGCAAAACTTCTTGGGTAAACCCTGTCATTAAAGAATAAAGAATACATCTTCACAAGAAGATAAGTAATGATGGCTTTTTAGGACTTTTATACAAGAAGATATATAGCAAACTTCGGCTTTTACCAGATAAAATTTTCCAGAAAGATGGGATTTAAGCAGCTGTTTCAAAAAACTAGGGAACTGTCCTGACGAGTTTGATTGAATCCCTTTTTCTTGCTCCAGGGTAGAGGAATTCCCATTGAAACAACTATGCTGATCAATGGTTGTGCTCGTTTTCGCTTCATTACTACAGATTGGATTTAAAAAAAAAAAAAAAATTATTATAAAGGAATAGACACTGCTGATAAATAATACCCATAACTTAAAAGCGTCATTTAGGCCTCAAATGTAACTACCTAAAGTGCGGAGATTTCAAGGTGAAGAAAACACAAGTCATGCTACAAGAACAAGTCATGCTATAAGAACATAATGAATGGCATACACTTTTACACAATACATACATTGTAGGATCGTGGTGTTTCACACATTACATCAACTTTAAAATCGACAATAACTTAGCTAACACATCATTTTATGACAACATTTATTTCAAAACAATTTTTTTTCGGAAGACTAGTCCAAGGATGTAGAACAGACACATAAAGTACGATCTTGATAAAAGAATCTCTACTGCTACAGTTTCTATCTCTATAAGAAATTAAGTCGGGTTCACATTTTTGCCCGCTGTGTAGCGTAAGTCGGACAAAACTTAGAGTTTATGAATTTAAACCGAAAAACACTTTGCTTTGCAAGCAAGTATACCTTCACACTCATTACATATAAAAAAATGAACTACACGAGTTTACAGCTGTTTGAAACCTTGATGGCCTGGTTTACAAAATCGCATTTTCATTTTACATGATATCGTTTATTCATAACTGTACCTCAAGTAGCAGAAAAAGAACGGCTAGCCTTATTCAAAAAGGTACTTTGCAGAATTTTGATTCAAGAACAGAATTGACATGACAGCATATAATTAAGTATCAATGGAACCAAATACTTGCCAACCACATCAAACACTTTCAAAACGATAACGATAATAATACGAATACGAAAAAAAATCGATTCTTGAGCACAAATAGTCTTAAACCAGTGGCATCATTCAGGTATCAGAAGCATTTAGGAAGACCCGTGATGAACAACAACAATAATGCAAAAAATTAAACTCCGCAGCCAAACAAACCTCTTCTCTGATCATCATGGCACTCGAAAAAAGGAAAAAAAA